CCTTCATGCCAAACAGAGCCTGGCTGTCGTGACCTCTGGCCTCACCGCCCGAAGGCCCGCCCGCTGCATCCAAGGACGCCCTGCGCGGGCCGCAGTGATAGCCTCTGCCAAGTCCCGCCTCTATCCACCGTTCACCACGCACTGGATTCATTCATGCCTCTGTGTTTCAGCGTCGTACTCGTCGGGTGGCGCCACTGTAGTCATAGGCGACTGTAGGGAAGCCGCGGTCAGAATGCCCCAAACGGCGAATTTTGAGGTTTTCTTTTAATTTCTCCGAAACTAGCCGGCATACGATCAAACCTTTTTCCATGATCATGAAAGGGAGTTATACGAATAAATCGGTCATATCTTCAAGCCTACAAAGCTGAAGACAAAAAAGATATACCCGGAAAGGCAAAACCTACGCTTAAAACCCGCGAGACCTGTACCAATCAGTTGGTTGGCCTTGGCTGCATGGACGTGGCCAAGGGCGTCGCCACAGGGGAGGGGACGGAGGGGATCTCGTCCCCTCCACTTTTTAAAAAACTTTAACATTACGCCTATGGCGTTGCATGGAAAGAATCGACTTGAAATGGTCCTCGTCCCCTCCAAAATGGTCAATGTCCCCTCCAGTCGTCACACCGTGGCGTCGCCCCTGGACGTGGCAACTCATGTCGATGGAATCTCTATTAATGTGGAGACGTCCACTTCACCCACCCTTTCCTCCTATATAAGCGCAGAAGGATAATAAAATTATTCCAATTTAAGGTGAAAATACTTCATTTGGTAGCAACGGCAATTGCTACCAAATGAATTTGAGCTCTTGCTTGCTGCGTCAGGAACGTCTGAAATAAAGCGTAAAAGCAAACCAGCATGGCGATGGGGTGGAGTGAAATTACTCTTTGAAAGTTGATTTTGCACCTATATTTGTAAATTTGCACTATAGGTAGCACGTGCACGCTGCATGGTTTCCGGTTGCCGCCATTTTCTGGTGTTTCAGTTTGCGGTTGGTTCTCACTGCGCAGTGTAAAACGGTGATTTTGCGAAGGGCAACAAGTCGAACTGCGAAGGTAAGTCAAAGTGTGGATATTGAGATTGAGATGTGGTGTTAAATCAAATTAGTGTATTGCTATTTAGGGAAAATGATCCAGGAACGCAGCTAAGTGAGGTGTTCAATCAGGGCTTTGGCTTCTATTTTTAGGTTTGCAGGCTTCAGCTTCTGTTCAAAATTGTCATCTGTGACATCACCAATCAGTCTTTCCCTATTTACCAGGCCACATTTCTGTCTAGTAAATTTATTTTTAATTTATCACAATAATGCTTAAACCACGTTTTAGGCATTTTTCAACGAACAAGTCCATCTAAATGGGACAAAATTAATAGAACATCCAAATTCCAAAATGGAGACTCTCACCACCAAATTGGGTAATATCGGCACCAGGAGACTTGTCCCACCAACTTTTCATGCATTTTTATTATCGAAACCGGTTCGCAAGAATGTCGACAAGAACACATGTCGAATGTGTTGTGCGGTCAATCTAACTTTTCCAGTTTTCGAGTTACGGTTGCATTTATCCGGTAATGTCCGAAATAGTCAATTTTTGACTGGGATTTCTTGTTAAGTGAAAAATGGTCGAGGCAACTTCATGAGTTTTCATTACGAGCTTTCGTTTGTTTTTTTTTTTCTTTCTAGCCCTCTTGGATTTTGAGTTACACTGGGAGTCATTTTGACTACCACCCCATCCTAAAAGCGAAGGCGGCCCTGATCCCTGATCCGAGCAAGGGCGAAAAAGGTCTTGAAAAAGGTCTATTTTGTAGGTCTTCTCTGCAGAGAAGACCTACAAAATACTCACGGATGATGTCGATGCAAGCTGTCGGCTTTCAGGGAGAAGCGGATGTTGCTGGGGAGCTCGTCAAACCTAAATCCGACGCAGAAACTGCAGGGGATTCACCTACAAGAGCTTGAAAGCTGGTAACCTTTTATCAGCCTCCGGCAGCTGACGGAGCGACGAAAATCGGTATGGGCAAATATTTTTGGAGATACAGCAAAGGGTTTGGTTTCCAACCTTCCGAATCAGTTGTCAAAGCATGCATATTTGTCTAGTGTACACACAGACACCAAAACCTTAGATTTTTGGCCGGTTCTTATATGCTTTATTGGCATGGGAAATGTGTCAACGAACTTTTGAGACACCCTGTAGTAGCCGTTTTCACGATGGCCATCTGTTACACATTTGGTGCACATCTGATACAGATTAGGTGCAGATTTGTTCAAATCAGGTTCAGTGTGTCTCTTAGCAGCTATCAGCTAGGGTTCCACTAATTGCTTATATGCCTGCTTTGTCATATTATCAGAGAGCATCATCGATTAAAACACTGAAACAAATTCATAAAATGAAGATATTTGCTGTAAAAGAAATTAGGTGCAGATTTGGTCAAATCAGGTGCATTCGCCGGATAGCCCGTCGTGAAAACGGCTAGTATCAACCTATTGCCCTGACCAAACATCAAGTAGCGCCTTTCTTAATAGAGAGAGGTTAACTCGTGACTATTTTTGCTAGGCCAAGACCGATTGAAGGACCCTGGTTCGAAGGAAGACCCTTGGTTCGGAGAGGTCATCACCCCCGTCCCCCGCCGGTTTCTACGCCGACGCCTGTAGCGATACGTCAGTGATTGCGAAGAGACGGAAGAGACAAGACAAGAGACGGTCCCACCGACCATCCCATCGGTATTGGGTCAAATCTGGAGTTCCCGCTGCACTGAACGTAAAATGGTTGGATGGAACCTTAAATTGAAAATTATCTAAGCGCCAGCAACGTTGATTGATGACTATAGAGTCTGATCAACGATGATTATGGAATCTGAGTAGCGAAATGATTGAAAATGGGCTCAAAAATAAATTTCAAAGGGGGAAATTCCCCCTTCCCTCCCTAGCCGTTCACGCACAATTTGAAAAGGGGAGCGGAATTTTCGAAGGGGGAAATTCCCCTCCCCCCTTTAAAAGTTACCCTGTTTTTATATTCAGCTTGCGGTGAGGTTTCATCCCAGGCATTGTAAAGAACTGTCGTTCAGTGGTAAGGTTTTTTAATGCTTAACCCTCGCCCGTAAACGGTGTTTTGCCACCTTCGCCCATGCAGGGGGGGGGGGTTGGTGGGACCCCCCGGCGTTTGAAAACGGAGCGTCGTAGAGCTTAGCGGAAAAGGCCAACGGATTGCTCTCAACGAGATCTCGCGATTGGTGGTATATTTTTTGGTCCTAGGTCAACAATTGACCTACCTATGACCGGTCAAAGGTCAAATTTTCGGAAAAATCTAACTTTTTCATATTTCCGCGCCGATTGCGGCAAAACGGTAAGAGATATCGACTTGAAACTTTCACTATCGTGATCCTTGATCAATTCTCTATCGTTTGGTGTGTATTTCGATGTCATAACTCTAAAAATGATGCGTTGGGAGCATCGGAAGTCTGCAAGGTCATTTGTGCATTGGGTCACGTCAGGCGTGTGACGTCACTGACCTGACCCTGACCCAAAATGAACTACAAGAAACAACCGACGATGCCTGAAATGGATAGCAAATTCGAATTCAGGGCATCAAAATACCCCGAAAAGGCATACAAGTGCAAGAAGTCATTACAGGTCAACCGAGGTCACTGACCTTACCTTGACCTTTAGTAACCTTCAAAATGTCAACGGACATTGTGCCAATGTCAAATCAGCCAGTTATGATTCTAAAACAATCCATCAGTGTGTCAGGTCAGTCGGCATTTATACCAATGTGAAGCAATCTCCAATTTAGCGTAAATCTGGCCGGAGGTTGTTCCCTTTATGACGTCATAACTCCGTGACCTGACATGACCATGACAAAAAAAAACAAAAGTTGCGCAAAGGATGCCCCAGAGGGTACTGAAAATTTGATCAGACTATCTGAAACGGTTCGGCGTGTAGCTAAGAAAAACCTCAGGGGGGGGGGGGTTGCACCAACCCCCCCCCCCCCCCCTACATGGGCGAGGGTTAAACGAATGAAATAATCGTGAAGCTCGCTCATATTTGCATCGATCATCTATCCATCGAACATTGAAAGAGCGTTATATGCATACCTATAAGCATACATGTATGCAATATGCTATGCATGCACATTGTACCTAATATGATGCGACGTTATGTAAATGCTAACCCGTGATATATTCGTCGTAATAGTGTACCACAAGTCACACATTGTTACAACCGACAGTATTTATGAAAAAATCATTGGAAATGTGCTTAATACGAGTAGGCTTTTAAGGAAACGAATTGAACGATTTAGGCTATTGTGAGTGGATTTTGTCGTTTGAATGTGACGAATGTTGGTTTACGGTTGAACAATTACAATTACATATAATTCGTACATTTGGAACGGCTCGATAGCATACGAATAAATAAACACTTGGATTACCGATATATCCATTCAGTCATACCTATCTCACTAGACTAGTCGACCACACTATAAAATTACATCCATCCACAGAAGGTGTAGCGACTTATGTGTACACCATTGACTGACTCGCCTCCGAAAGAAGGAACGAAAGAAAGAACTTGAAAAAGGGGAAGGAATGATATTCACATCCGAGTGCTGCTTGATGTCCCATGGGAGCCGAATACTTTACAAATGCCGATCATTTGAGCAGTTCCACCAAAAATCCACATTCGATACGTACAAACAGAAGATCTCACTCAGCATGCACAACTCTGTAAATTATTTGAGACGTTTCCTCCGAAAAAAAAACTCACAAAAGTAACCACTTCCATAGGTATATACAGATATTTCTACTGAACATGTTTGCACTAAAATTGGAAAACGTTCACTCCTTTTTTCACTATGAAAGCAGAAGGCCTAATTATCTCTTCAATTGCAATTTAAAAAGCACCAATTTTTAACCGTTGGGCCTCTTAGACAGTCCGACATCCTACCGTCGGCTGCGGCGGCCGCCGGCCGGCTGGTCAGCAGCCCCGCCGGTGCCGACGCCGCGCTCCTGTCACCCACCTGTGATGGCGGCCGGCCAGTCGCACCTCAGCCTCGCCATTGGGCCGCGAGCCGAGGTCGAGCGGCGTCAGCAGCTCGGCCGTGCTGTCCTGAGCCGACACCGGTATCTTATCGCCCATGGATGCGGGAGGCGCCAGCCATGACTGAGAGATCGATCGAGCGGGCCGCCGGCGGCGGCTGCCGCGCGCCGCCCGGCCGCGCTGCCCTCCGCACCTCTGCCCGGCCGACGCTCCGCAGCTCTGTCCGTCGGCCCGGGCGGCGCCGACAGCTCCGGCGAGCTGCGGCAGCTCGTCTCGCTCGGCGCGGGCTGCAGCGCGGCGGCCAGGTGCCGGCTGCCGCCCGGGCCGACGGCCGCAGACGGCCGTCCACAGTTTGTCGGCGCACCGCGGCGGAATGCAGCCGCCGGACCGGGCCGCTGGCCACGCTAATAAGGCTGATTGATGTGGACAGATTCCAGACAGCAGCGGCAGCTCGCTGTCTGCAGTAATCACGATGAAAATAAAGGACCTTAAACTTCTGACGTACAGTGGGAAAATGTGTGCCTTTGTATTGGCTTTCCCTATACGAATATCAACAGTTTGATGAAAAAATATTAGAAATCAAAAGTATAACTTATCAAGAGTGCAGTTATTTGGCAACTTAGCCCGCGCACCAACCGCCCCCCCCCCCCCTGAGGTTTTTCGTAAATAGTGGAAAAACTGCAGCGGTTAGCGCTGCGAAATTTAGCATGGTTTTTTCTTCATCAATTTTACACATGGTGTGCAAGTTTGAACCTCCTATCTTTCAAGGTCAGGTCAACAGGTGACTTCAGTTCGAATGACCCAACCTCAAATCACTTCTTTGCAATTTTGTCATCGTGTCAGAGCTACAATAGACAACGGAGACTTTTGAAAGTTGTAGGATCTGATGAGTGTATTGATAGCTACAATTTGAACATCTCGGAATTTTGATATCGATGGCCTAAGGTCAGGACAATATCTTGACCACTCCATTATAAGTCAATGAGGGGGGGGGGGGAATCAACCTCCGGTTTTTTCCACTAAAACGCGTCGGAATGGCCCAATATACGATAAATGACTTCATGTACGATCAACCTTGACTAACTTGAGGCCTTTTTTGCTCTTGGGCAACTGTAAGGTCTTGTGGCGTCATCAGGGGTCAACAAAGTTTTTTTTTTGCTAATAATTCCTTACAGGAACGAGATACAGCCGCACGGATGGTCTCATCGTGTTCAGCTCGGCAAGGCGCTTCGAATGATGTACATGATGACTTTGAGGTCACTTGATCTGAGGTCACCCTTTGACCTTGACCTTTCGAAGTCAACATATATATGATTCGATGTGGATTGACGAGAGGATCACGATGGTGCCATTAGTTTGTTTCTAGCTTGGCTACTTCGAAAGTTATTCGAGAAAAACTAACTTCATTTCTAGTGCCGCAATTTTGACTTTTTTACCCCTGTGACGTCAGCTATGACCTGACCTGCAAATGACCTTGTCAAAATTGTAGACGTTCTCCGTGCGTACTCCCGTTTACCGCTTGTCGCTAACTTGCTTCGTTCTCGACATCTCAGGGGGGCGGTCAACCCCCCCCCCCGTCGGTTCTAAGTTAGCGCGTACCCCCGTCGGTGCGCGGGCTAATTGCCTGTTGTGTCCCTTTATCTGTAAAGAGGCTTTGAATTAGCTGGTTTTACCTATTCATTGAATTATTGCATTAATTAACAAAACGTAATTGCACAAATCTTAAACTTGGTGTTGCGGTAGTACGTAACAAATATGATATGTATATCATGGGCGCCATTATCGAAGAACAAAAAGGGTAAAATTGTTGGACTAACAAAGACCATACTTTAAAGCTGCCTACCTACAGCATCATCTATAGGTTTTTATTCGCGACTTGTAACATCTTTCTACATTGGCAAATATGACCACAGTCGAAGCTGTGTGTCGCTTCACGAGTTTTCTTTTAGTGAATAAAAATAAATCTGTATTATCTTTATAAGGGACATCAAAACTATGAGACCATGCTTCGATGTGCATCTTTGATCTCATTCATACACCCAGCAGTACAGATAGGTACAGGTCTCGCCATGGGCGTCGCCACCACTACGGACACTACGGACAGTGTCCGTACAAGTTTTGGAAGGCCCGAAAACTTGTACGGAATGTCCGTACAAGTTTCGAAGACTGCAAATACAGTCTTTGCAGTTTGCACATGTTTTGAAGTAGCTTAAAGCTGATCAGCCCCTATTTGTGGACGTGGTTAAAGCTACGATCCAAGGCCGCCCCAAAGTCAATGTCACGAAAGAGTATATAGGGTGTAACGAGATTAGCCGGACATCTATTTTTTCGCCATATCTGTTCGCACAGTTTCTTTTCTGATGTCAGAAGCGGGAATGCTGGATGAGTAAGTGCCTCTAGTATCGACTCTCAACTCAGTGGTGACCTGACCTTGTCAGATGACTCTTGCTCCGAGTAAGAGTTGAGTCACCGACGGGTTCATTTGATAGTTTTCGCCTAACGTAATGGAGAGAAAGGAGCAGTCTCTCCTTTCGTATTAAAGAAACATGCTTGTCGCATGACGGCAATGATTATGAGCCTGAAGCTGGTCTGCCAGCAGCTGGATATCAGCAGCAGCCAGCTGCACATCTACCTGGGGCGCAATAAGCTGGGACTTGATTGGTGAACTCAGCCCGGCCGCGACCGCAAAAGCGCCCTTTACCAAGTGGTTAGGAGAGTTGTCAAGATAGCGACAAGGAAACGGCAACAATCAATCCGCAGATTGACTTGAATTCTTGGCAAGGCAGATAATAAGCGGGCCCACATCATGACCCATCGCTCTCCGCCCCTTAACTTTGTTCTTCTGCCCATTAAACTGAAAAAAGACAACGAAGTCGACGGGAAAATAGCCAGTGCGCCCGCTTTGGCCTCACGCCATGACGCATCCACTGGTCGAAGGAAGACATGAGCAAGGTGGCCTGGTGGAATGAGTAGCTATTCGCGCTGTATTGTCCTTTGAACTATCAAAGCGGCCTTGTGTTGGCTGCCAGTAACTCAAACGTGCCGGCCGTCACCGGCGTCAAACATCCGGCCAAGGCCCAGGTCTGAAGCATATTCAGCTGCTGTGGGATGTTCCAACTGTGCATTGTGTCACAGAAGACCACCATCAGTAACGAGTATTACCGGAGCAATATCCTGGCAAGCAAGTAGTTGGAGCCGCTCAATCGGACGGCACGAGAGGGCTCGGTTTCTAAAAGGGTTTGATTTAAGCATGCTGCCTTCGTGCAGGCTGGAGCGCTACATTTAAGTCCGTAGGAGAATGAGAAGTGACGACGAGAGAAGCTCCTTTCCTTCTGGACTAACGGTCTACGGCTTGGAAATAGCTGTCATCCTAATTCCATCGAGATTTTATGGACTTTTGTCCAGCAGGAGGTGATTAAAGGGACTATCCCACCTTTAACATGGGGTTTGAGTTGAGATAGCCAAGTTTGCGGCGAGGTTCAGAAACCACTATCTATCTAGGTTGCAACCCCCGCGGCCTCTTGGTGTTGAAGAAATTCGTTCCCTTCATTTGAAAATGGGCCTTGTACAAGGCCCTATCTTCAACATGGAGCGACCGTTAGTGTGACGTCACCTCGTTTAGTCATTCTGATTTAAATGGGTTTGTTCGTTGAAAAATCGCTTAAAACTTGGTCTGAACTTTGTCAGGGGTGGATTTTTATATTAAGTTGGGGTTGCACGTGCAACCCCAACTTTGAATTGTGCAACCCCAACATCGGTTTGTGCAACCCCAACTTTACAACTGAAATAAATCGGCGGGCGACTCTAATGGTGCCGCCCCCATAACCCTGAGTCATCCCAAAACTCTATGCCACCCGTTGACTTGGCACCATCTTTCAAAAGAGCCCTACCCTTCATGTAAATAGGCAATAGTCACCCCTCAACTATCTAGTGTAATTGCCGCCTCCTCAGACCTCAAATGTAGGTGCCGCTCCCTCGAATGTAGGTGCCGCCCCCTCGAATGTAAGTGCCGCCCCTCGAATGTAGGTGCCGCCCCCTCGAATGTAGGTGCCGCCCCTTCAAATGTAAGTGCCGCCCCCTCGAATGTAGGTGCCGCCCCCTCGAATGTAGGCGCCGCCCATTAAATGTAGGCGCCATCCCCTCGAATGTAGGTGCCACCCCCTCGAATGTTGGTGCCACCCCCTCGAATGTACCTAAATGCCGCCCCTCGAATGTAGGTGCCGCCCCCTCGAATGTAAGTGCCGCCCCCTCAAATGTTAGTGCCGCTCCCTCCCTCGAATGTAGATGCCGGCCCTCCTCGAATGTAAGTGCCGCCCCCTCGAATGTAGGTGCCGCCCCCTCGAATGTTGGTGTCACCCCCTCGAATGTAGGTGCCGCCCCCTCAAATGTAAATGTCGCCCCTCGAATGTAGGCACTGTCTCCTCGAATGTAGGTGCCGCCCCCTCAAATGTTAGTGCCGCCCCCTCGAATGTAGGTGCCGGCCCTCCTCGAGTGCAGGTGCCGCCCCCTCAAATGTTAGTGCCGCCCCCTCGAATGTAGATGCCGGCCCTCCTCGAATTTTGGTGCCGCCCCCTCAAATGTACCTAAATGCCGCCCCTCGAATGTAGGTGCCGCCCCCACAAATGTTAGTGCCGCCCCCTCGAATGTAGGTGCCGGCCCTCCTCGAATGCAGGTGCCGCCCCCTCGAATGTAGATGCCGGCCCTCCTCGAATGTAGGTGCCGCCCCCTCGAATGTAGATGCCGGCCCTCCTCGAATGTAGGTGCCGCCCCCTCAAATGTTAGTGCCGCCCCCTCGAATGTAGGTCCCGGCCCTCCTCGAATGCAGGTGCCGCCCCCTCAAATGTTAGTGCCGCCCCCTCGAATGTAGGTGCTGGCCCTCCTCGAGGCTCGAATGCAGGTGTCGCCCCCTCGAATGAAGGTGCCGCGCCGCCCCCTCAAATGTTGGCCCCGGCCACTTATGCATAGGTGTCATCGGTCATCCCATAAAATGTAGGTGCCGTCCCTTCGAATGTAGATGGCACCCCCTAGGGTGTAGTTGCCGCCCCCTAAGGCCTAGTTGCAGTGCAGCCCCCTCAAAGGTAGGTGCCACCCCCTAAGTGTAGGTGCCACCCCTTGAAATGAAGGTGCCTTTC